TTTTTTAGTTTGAACAACATGCACGTATTATTAATTAATTTTTCTTTTTCTTTTTTTTTTAGTTTTAATGAGAAAGAAAGAATAAAATAAAATAAAATGAAGAAAAGTTGGTGAGCTTGACCTTGTAGTTGTGGGGTGGGAGAAAACTGGGTGAATAAGGAGGAGTCAGGATAGTACTGGGAGAGGAGTACAAGTTGATCCTCATCAAATTCAGGGTTCATTTTTTCTCTAGTGATTTGTGTGTGTGTGTGTGTGTGTGTGTGTGTGTGTGGTGCAATGATGAAATGTGTGTACAATTAAGAAAGACTTTGGACTTTGGGAGTGAATAGAAAGGAACAAGGAAAGGGAGTTGCTGTGCTGTCTCAAGAGGATTTAGGGATAGGGAGGCTTTATTTATAAAGCTGAGTTGATTCAGATTAGTCTTGGTCTTCACACTTATTTTCAATAATGCCACCATCATATCTTTCCAACAATTGCATTTATAATATCATTCTTTAGTCACAATCGTTACAATAAGCCTTGTTTGGCGATCAGCAGATAACGGATAGTGGATAGATGATTGTATCAGCGAATAGCGCATAGCGAATTATATTAGCTGATTTGACCAGCGAATTACATTAGCGATTTTTAAATAAGTGTTTGGTAAATAGCTGAAAGCTTATAACTGTTTGACATTGCAAAAAATAATAACATTCTATTATTTACGGTGTATTCTCTTAATAATAATATATTAAAACATCAGATATTTTTTAGTTGGTAGTTTATAAATATATATATTTTTTTAAAAAAATTACTAACAGTTGATGAAAAAATTATGAATTTTACATTTTTCTAGATAAATTAATCATATGGATGAGATATTATTATTTATAGCACCATAAACCAATGTAGATTGTAAAATAAATAATACAAATAAAAAAGTTTCAAGTAAATAATTTTTGTGAATCCTCTATCCCAAAAAAAGTGCTCTGATTAATGATTCCTTGAGACTTATTAGCCTTCAAATATACATGCCATGAAACCAACAGTTGGCTCCGAAGTGGATTGGGGGAGAGCTGAGGGTGCACACTATCAACCTTCTATATGATTAGAGAATATGATAGGTATATTTATTGTATATAGAAAATTGACTTTACTATGGAGTCAATTGTTGGTTTCATAGCAAAACCGATTATAAATAATCCATGACTAATAACTCAACGGAAATTCCATGACGAGATTGTACTGTTTTCCTTATTTTAGTCGGGTCTAAAAATTATGATCGTCTAAATATTTGATAGTTTAACGCAACTGTGATCAACTCTTAATAATATATTATTTTTGTATATATTATGAACCATGCTGCAGAAACATAAAAGATTAATGACATAAAAGTTTGACATATATAATAGCATACGTTACAATGTTAATATTATTTTTAAGCACAATATCACATTTAAAATCACCAATTATTAAATGTATATATATACATTATTTTATATCGCACATTATTATCCGAGTAATATTTATGATAGTTTTTTTGGCTCTTTTATCTCTTTTTCATTACATTTTACGTTATTTAAGTAATTGTATTTTTATTAAATTTATTATATAATAGCTACTACTAACTGATCAAAGGTTACATTAAATGATATTGTATTTAAATTTTTTTTTATTGTTTATTTAGAATTATTATTTTTTAGCTCATTAAGTAATTTTTTTTTATCAAAATTAGTTAATTATTATTTATGGAATAACCAAATCCCTCAAATTATTTCACAGTTTCTACAAAAATTTTTAATATTGATTTATCCAATTATTATTATATTATTAAAAAATATAATTATTAGTATGTACATTAAATATATTTAATGTAGCACTATTTATTGTAATACCTCTAACAGTAGGTAACACAATATTGGCGCTGCAATTGTTTGTGCTTATGAAGTCAAAGGTAATACTTTTGGTAGTTTTTAGTAACATTTATATGATACTTTTACTAGTTTTTGATAATACTTAAATTAAAAGTATTACAATAATATGATACATAAACCAATAATATGAAAGTATTACAATAAATGGTGCTACCTAAAGCCATTTATGTTGTAATAGTTTATATTTACATCGTTCAATTTTATTAACGATAAAACTATAATATGATATGTAATCATTGTCTAACTTAATTATTATTATAAATATCGTATAAACACCTATAAAGTATAATTTTATTTATATTTGTGCATGTTCTTACGATCAAATACTAATAACTTTTAAAATCAACAACGATTAAATATATACATTAATTTTTTTTATCATTCTTTAAATCAAACAATTATTTCGAAATAGCTTTGAATATATATATATATATATATATATATATATATATATATTATTGAACGTTGTGTGTGGTTGGGGAGAATAAAACATAAAAGCACACAATTTGGAAATTGGATTTAATGAAGGGAGCAATGGATTTATCTCATTTATCTTGTCTCGATTTGGTCTAACGTGATTCATTCAAATGGGTAAAGCACATATATATGAAATGGTATGTGTTTAGTTTGCTTGCAAGGGCAAAACACTCATATTTATAGTATTTTATTTTTCTTCTTCATGATCTAAATATGTACATTAATTACCACAGGCAACGAGACCTAATTTGGGGGCGGGTCGGGTCGGGCCAGGTCGGGTCGGTTCAGGTTTTTCGATCTAATCGACAAACACCCAACCAAAAATTGCAAACTGAAAAGAAAAGAACAAAGGAAGTTTCACTTGCAATTGGCTTTCCAAACTGGGGAAAGGAAAACTGGTGAGAGTGAGAAACCAAACAACTGTAGCTAAAGAAGCTATAGTATAGTGTGAAAGAAGAAGTTAAGAGGGATAAGGTTAGGTTGGGTATTGGGATCCCAAAAACTGACCACCGCATTTGTTATTATATAATAAACAAATCGTACGATATTGACCTGTACATTTGGACTATTAATTAACTCACTTTTGTTGTCCACTTTGGTTGTATTCTCCTCATTTGCTCCACCAGGTTATAAATTTACCTTAAAGCTACTACTCCATCTTTTGTATATACGTACGTATCGTATGCAAGCAAGGGACGTAGCCAAGAAATTTTTTAATCAGGGGCTGCATATTATTGTAGTTATTATAGGAACTGTGTAAACATGGTCATGGGCCAATCCAGTCTGTCGGTTCGGCCCGAACCAACACAAACAGGCCCGTTAGCCATGGGTTTTGACAATACTTTATAGTTTATACATTTTGAACATGCAGTTTTGGTTCCGAATTGAAACCGGAACCCGAGGTTCGCCCTTTTTTTAAACAACATATTATTTTAATTAATTTTTTAATAAACCGGATGACCAATAACCGACAATTCAATGAACCGGTCGTACGTATGTTCGCGCCGGTTCAGGTTCCTCCAACTCTTGGCCCGATATCGACGGTTTCGACCTGTAACCGGTTATGGTTATGTCTAGAAACAAATTATCTGTTAACATATGTCAGTTTGAATTGGGAAAGCTCAATCTCGAATCGCTTATATATTTAAACAAACCAAGCTCAAATAGCAAATCGAACTTGTCGATCAAACAAATAGAGTCGAACATGTTTGCAATCTAACTTTGTATGAGTTTTCTCTTTGTCAAGGAAATGAAGCCGAAATAATTATTGGAGGCGAAATCAATAAAAAAAAAACAAAATAAATAAATAAATGAAAATGGATAACGGACTATGGAATAAGACGAACCAAATTAAATAGCATGTTGGAGAAGTATGTGTCAAGCTTAATTATTCAGCTCATTTGATATTTGTCAAGTCAACCCATTAAATTTAAAAGGCAACAGTATGTTGGGCCACATTATAAACTCAATAGATAAAAATCTAATAAGATAACAATTGTTATTTGACAATAAATGACTATCTTTTTTCCTCACTAGAATCATCATTTTTCCACTTTTCCACCATTGTTTTCAGATAAAAAATTTTGACCTGAAGACATTCTTGAGGCATTCAGTCCAAAATTTAAAAATTACACGGGGCTAATGAGTTTATGTATAATTTTTTTTTTTTTTTTACAAAATAAGGTTAGCAAAAATAAGATTAGCAAAAAATTACATGGGGCTGGAGCCCACCCTAGCCTTAGGGTGGCTCCGCCCCTGTATGCAAGTAAAATATTATAAGTTGTATATATATGTATTATATTTTGAAATTATAAGTTAGATAATGTTTATAAATTCATTAATACACCATTAATAAATCTCTCTGGTGAGAGCAGGTTCCGGGGATTCTCTCATATGAGACCGTTGTCTCTTCTCTAAACTCCATCCCTTTATCTTCCTTATTCATAGTGATTACGATTCTTTCGGGTGGGAAGCTCTTATGGTGGAGACTAATTGTGTGGGGCGAGATGAGGAATTGGCTAATCGACTTAAAAGGGTTCTCTTTATCGAAAAAGGAAAGCTCGGTCATTGATATAGCCCAAGATGACATCCGACTCAGTGCAGAGGAGTGTCAAAGAAGTTTATTCGGGAAGGTAATTGGGGACCGTAAAGCCAGTTGGATAGGGATCAAACGAACGATGAGAAACATTTGGAAGCTGCAGCAATCGATGGAGTTCAAGGAACTAGGGCACAATTTCTTGCTATTCTTATTTCAAATCCGTGATGACATGAAAAAGGTTACTAGTGGAACGAACTGGATCTTTGAAAATCAGTACTTGATTCTCAAAGAGTGTGAGACAGGATTGACAAGCAAACACAAAGGTTTTCAGGAGCTCAACATTTGGACACATGTAATCAATCATCCTCTAGATTGGCTAAGTGTCGAAGTGGGCCTTAAGTGCGAAAAACTAGTTAATCTATGCTACTACTGCGACATCATTGGCCTCCTTGATAGAAGCTGTTGCAAAAAGGCTTGAAGATATCATGCTAAACTTGTTGAAAGATGGGCAATATAGTAAATGGATTAAGGTTGATGAGGGGAAATCTTGGCAAGGAGCAAACAACTCAGGCACTAGCCAATCTCCTAACAATGGTCAAACCCCTATGACTGAAAACAAATCCTATCATACCAATTCATCTGTTTGTCCCATTTTTATTACGTTTTTCGTAGTTATTTTTCCTTACTTTTCTCCACTGTTTTAGGTCTTTTTGTTGATTTTCAGTTTGGTTTTATGTTTACTACGTGTTTTCATCTATTTGGAGTCCTTTTGGTGTTTTTCGTTTGGTTTTCT